GCTCCTTCCAATTTCTCCTCCTTTCGTGATTCCAACTTGGGGATTTATTTGTGCACTGAATGATGTATACGGGGACTTATACGCATACGTTAATAGATCCAGAGAAATAAAAGCACGGAGTTACATTTCCAAACAGCATTAGCCTAACAAACTAGGCACGGACTCTCACACAGCTGGCATGCATCAGCAGCCAAACTCTACACTCGGTTACATTCATATAACCCCACCCAAATCAGCGTAGCTGAGACACTGGCCCATTGCAATAAACTCGCACTGTCTCGGCCTTGAGCTGTGAGAGCTGGCCAGAATATCTGTACATGAGCGAACACTACCTTATCTACGTTTTCAGATCAGTTCTGTGTTGAGTACTCCTGAGACAGCCGTTATTCTAGGACTGACAGACTATTCATGTAACGCTACAGAAATACATCTGTACAGCAAAGGGCAAATACAGCAAACTTCGTTTGCCCCTGCTCCACGCAAACGCAAGGCCACGCGCACCCTCACGCGCGAATGATACCGTCAGCGCAGCACTGAGTCCATGCTAATGGTATGGGGTCTGCACCGACAAACCCGCTTATTAGCCCCGCGCTGAGCAGCCACCGCTTCTGCTCAGCCACATCGATCTGCTCAGGTGCTGGCACATTAGTCGTATCTGTTATAATATGTGATAGACACGAATCCTGCCTATCTCAGAGACACTGCTCTGAGATTCTCCATTTCTAACCCTGTTTCCAGGGACAAAAACCTGGCGCAGGGGGCGGGGAGGAGGAAGAGCCAAATTCCTAGCAGAACTTCGGAGCCAGCTTCCTCACTAAATATCATTCTGGCTTCGCTATAATGCCTCCCACCACAAGAGTCTGGCTGCAAAGAATACTGTCTCTCCAAAGCCCAAGAGCTTTACCCAGGATTTTTCCAATTGTATCTGTCATTCTGGATGACTGGTGAAATTGCTTGAACCCTCAAGACAGTGCAGTGCCGCTAGAAAAGTCAGGACACTGGCGGAACTCAACAGGGAGGTGAATAAAACGTACAGAGCAACTCCACCACAGACACGCATCAGCATCTGTTGCCTGAAGCGTGAGATACGTGCTATACTAATTTCACCTATTTTCACTTTCCATTTCAGATAGCTTTCGGTAACAGCAGAACCCAGAGTTGACAAACGTCCTGCATCCCAACAGCTCAGGCTCCCATTTTCCTAAGGAACCAAAGAGGCTGTGGTGATGCTGAGGCAGGTACAGCATTTCATAGTCCAGGTTGGCAATGTTCTTGCATTTCAGCTAAAACACAGATGCATTTTAAACTCTGTTTCCCCAGTTCTACAAATAACTCTATTTGGAAGAAAGAAAATTATTCTCCTTCATTTGTCGTTACCTCGGTTTTAAGAATAAAAAAAGTATGAAAGACACAAAAATCATCCAAAAAATCCAGACGGGTGTTTTCAGAATACAGCAATGGCAAAATACACTGAGTGTTGGTTTCATTCACCTTAGTTTTGACTACAGCTATTCAAGTAAATCTCAATAGCTTATTGACTGCAAGTTTGATTATTCCCTTGAATTCTGACATCCATCGACTCGATTTTACAGTATCAATGGGAATACGGAAAAGCCAAACGCTCTGCAGGCTAAATGAATTAGCACGGTGCCATTATCTATTTACCAGCCACCAGCTGCACTCACAGATACTTGCGCTGCAGGTGGCCAGCAGCATTTAAAGCAGAAGAAAGCTTCATTTCTCTACTTGTAATCATACTTCAGAATCTAAACCACACATACTATTTAAATAATCTTTCAAAGAATGCTATGGAGAAGAAAGAAAAAAAAAGCTGGATAATTACACCTATGTCTGTGTTTAATATGAAAACACAAGTTTCATAACAGGAAGAGACATTTGCTGCCAGCATTGGTGGCAGCCCGGAGCTCAAGCCTGCGCAGCCGCCAGGCGCCATAGGTGGCACTCACACCATCTCCCACCGTCTTCGGGGCTTTGCCCCCAAGGAACAACAGCAGAAGCACTGTTTCAACCAGGGCTTATCTATAGCAAACACATTCATCACCCATTTTAAGGCAAGAGCCGCAGCAAGGATAGCTATCAGCACATAGTATTCCCTGTTCCTAAGCGAGCGATCCATATTTCTGTCCTCATCAAACACAACTGCTCAGCCCACTGGCCTCTCAGCTCAGGTGGTCCATGAGTTATCTCCCTTTTAAGTTTACTCAAATCCATCATGGGCAGCCTTACACATTGCTAAAAGCCCCATAAGGTATACATTCAACAGCAAAAACATTCTTGTGATAATGAAAAATAACACAGTCATCATCAACGCGATAGTAAAAAATCAGACCACAGGCTTTTGCGACTCCAGTTAACTGGTCGCAGTTCCCGACTCTATCAGGCACCAGTTTGGCAACTGGTGACTTAGGTGGCTTTCTGCTAGTTGGCCTCCTGTTTTTCTTCTGAAGGCTAGCATGAGCATAGGAACCCCAGAAAGCCGTCAGTAAGTCTCTGTCCCTTTCCAGGGAACATTATGAAGCCATCAGCTCATTTGAATGAGCTTACATTTGAAAAAAAGGGTGGGCTTTTCACTTTATTGATGCACTCTTCCACACAGGATTTTTTCAAAATCTACATCAAACAAGGAAAAACAAATGCTGAGAGGGCAGATTTAGGGCAATTTATCAAGGTCTGGGAAATAGCTTCCAGATGGATAGAGCTGTTTGGTGCTGGCTGGTGAGAAGGAAGCAAGGTATTGTTATTGAATTAGCATGAATCTCTGGTGGAGAACTGCATGGTAGATAGAGTGCTCCTGTCATATGGTTTGCATTTGGACCTGTCATACTTCATTTTTATTCAAAAACCTGTGGTAAAGACACACAGTTCTTTTTTGCTTATTAAATTTCCACCAATTCTCCCTGTACTGTTATTCAGTCAGTATTTTTAAACTCTGCTCTAAGTGCCATGTTTGCTCTTTGCCATGCTCGGATGACAGCTTGGTGCTTACAAGCTCACAAGTGGTTTTAGGTTTTGCATTCACACACTGTTACCTGAGAAAGTGTGTGAGCCAGGAGAAAAGCTGGATGCTCTATGAGATATTTAAACCGAGTCACTTAAAGAGTTTATCAAAACCTTTCTAAGTAAAGCGATGCACAGTGAGGTCTAACGCACACTGGAAGATTATTCTTGTTAATAAATCCTCCCTTTGTAAACATGTCTTCTAGCAGTACAAATGCATGTATACCAGTGAATTTGCTAATACAGAAATACTGTAAAAACAAAAACCCAAAACCTCCCACCTAAGGGCAAAAAAAGAGATGTGCTCATTAACCAACAAGTTTCTACTTTGAATAACCTGGATACCTGTTCCATGATACGTGCCTTACTCTGTAAGGCATACATAAAGATTTATGTATTTACCTGCTAGTTTTGAAAGCATTTACTTTTCAAGTTATCCTAACTAGTCTCATCTGAAGAATTCAATGTAGTTTATGTTAAGCATCAAATTAACATGACCATTCTTCTATTAACCTGAGCAGATAAACAGCCACAATTTCCCTCATTGCAAAAACAAATCAATGGTTACCAAGTAGATTCAGTTAAACAATTTATGACAATGTGGTCTTTGAAGATAGCAGAAAAATTGCTGTTTGATATGCCAATGTGTAGAAGGATTTTTAATGGGAGGAAATTTCTGATGGCTTTTTCAATTACTTAGGAGAATTGTTACTATTCTTGAGTACTAGGCGTGGGGGCACTGGGGTGAAATAGAAGAAATGAGCTTTACATCTTCCCTTTTCCAACGTTTCAGGGATCTACCACAATTACTCTGTTACCATCTGGGGTGTATCCTAGGCAAACAGAGAAGGGAAACGGTGGTACCATCAGAACCAATAAATTCCTAAATCCTACCTGAAATGTAAGTCATAGATACTCATGCTTACTTCCCACATGTATGTCTACTTTTGCCCTTCTTTTTTTTCCCCCTATAGTTCTTATTACTCTGTGCTTTATGAGCATCTGCTTCAGCTGACCAAGACTCAGTAAGAAATACCCAATGAGGCAAATAAAATCACAGTCTACAGGATGCAACTTACTTCTTTGGCCATAACATCCGATCTCCCCCAGGCTGTGAGCAGGTCATATGCTTCATTTATGACTCATACTTAATCATTCAGCCACTGACGACTGAGCTAGGTTTCCAGTTATATCAACTCAGAAACAAAGTCTTGATAGCCTTAAGCTCTCATGATGCAGTGTGAACAATGGGAGTTATACATCACTGCGAAGAAACTGCATTACTCAATGACACAATTTTCTGATTTCCAAATGTGTTACCAAGAAACTGGCGCTGCACGCTCACAATGCTTGGCATCTACAGGATTTCACATTTGCAGATCACTCGATGGACGTCAGTGCTCAGAAGTCAGAGACAGCTGAGCTAGTGGGTGTGTCTGATCAGTTATCACCTTTCTGCTAATCAGTCTGTGTAAAATGGACATAACCTAGCAGGTATCAACGTTCTGTCACCGTGGACTAAACTGGCCCTTAATTCTCATCTGAACTGCCTCCTCTTTGGCCTGGTGGCCTACGAAACGGTTACCTTGTTGTTGGCAAAAGAAAAGAAATTCAAAGGAAGATAAAAATCAGCTTGCCATTTCATATGGATGCGTACATCACAGAATCAGAGAATATCCAAGGCTGGAAGCAACCTCTGGAGATCATCTAGTCCAAACAACCTGCTCAAAGCAAGGTCAACTAGAGCAAGTTGCTCAGGATGATCTGTATAGTCACAGCACAGAGAGGAAGAAATGCCTTTCCGATTGCGCAGGATAAAATGTGTAGCAGGGCGCAGTCGAAAGGTCACACACAATCTGTTTGAATAAGGGATCTTCTGAGCTCAGCTGCCTGTAAAATTGACTTCTTGTGGTACAGCAATTAAGAAAACAGAAGGGATGGGGAACACTATTGTTTTTCATGTAGTTCATTTGTAGTCATACCTTGAAGCCAAAAGGGCAAGTGCATTGATAAAACTCCACTGGATCATTGTTGCATGTCCCATTGTTCTTACACGGACTGGAGAGGCAGGGGTTACACTTGGACACAACACTGATATCTACCGGCTCTGGAAAGGCAAAACACAGTGTATTAATAGAGAACCAGATTACAAAATTAATACTGCCCATACTCACACATAAGTTTTTTCGTAATGCAGTAGTCACCCTGCGCTGGCACAAATGCACATGCTGTGGGTGCAACTTTACACAACAGCATGGGATTCCCAGGGATCAGAGAGGTTTTAAGCACTTAAATCAAGTGTTAGGCAAGTCTCAATGATGCTTATATTCTCCTGGACATGCAAACATCAGCTCTGAAAAAACATGCTGGGGATCTCCAGAGACTGGGCTTATATATATATATAGCTTTCAGCAGTTTTTCCTTCTCTCAGTGCTGGAAATTCTGCAATAGCAACCCCTGGGGACCTATAACATGACATTTCTATGCCTGGTAATAAGAATGAAAGTGCAGATACAACAGCAGAAATAAAAAACATGCATAAGAGAGATTTAGTGAGAGGCTTATGGGAATATTTAGGTGCAAAGTGTTCTACCATCCTTAATTTTAACTGAGTTCAAAACTTATTTTCTTCCTCTTCTGCCCAGAAGAATGACTACCAATATTCAGCTATCTCGGCAAAATGCAACAAAGACAAATATGCAGGGATGTAAATGTATGCAGGTAAATATACATGGCCATACTTAAACCATTTAATAAACCATATTTTTTTAAGCAAAACTCTTCCAGGAAAGTCGTGATGTCTGTGGGTGAGCAGGAAAATGAACACAGACCAAAACAACATTAAGTACATTTGGGGTACCAACTCAATCAATATTTTATTGTTGAGATTTTACAGAAAGCTAATTTAGAGAGTTATATTTACAGTTAAAGAAATGGTGAATTTGAAATGGCTACATTACAAAATTATTAAATTTTGAAATGACTACATTTCAAATACTAATGAGTTAACAGCTTTTACCTGTGAAAAATAAAACATAACACTTTAAAAGGGATGAATTGTATCAGGCAGTAAAGACCCCAAAATAATTTTAGTTAATTTTTAAGAAAATACTTTTCAAAATAACTTAAAATTGGTCCTGTGCTAATCAGAAGTGGGCACAGAGCTTCTGTTATTGCACGATAAATGATAAAGAGGAGTACACGGTGAAATATCCTGAAAGTGAAGAAAAGCAGCTTCTACTTGATGTTAGAGAGAAGGTGGACCTCTACAAGGTTACTAAAACTACAGACGAAAAAATCCCTTCCAGTCAAGGACTTGCTTTGGACCGTTCTGCACGAGATACAAACCTTTATTACTAACTTAGAATACTTTGCACAGCAGCAACAGGGTTAAGAACATGACAGAAAGGAGTACCGAGGACTCTCAGCTGAGAACCCCAGCAATGCAAAGACTGTATCCTGACCCTACACCGACACCCTACACCGACCTGGTGTTATCAGGGCGACTGACCGCAGAGTGCAACATGCAATAATGAGGAAAAAATACACAAGAAGTAACAAATCCAAAAAATGGATTGTTGTCTTCCTCTTCTATCTTTGCATTTATGTCCGACTAAATGCCTTACATGCTTTTAACCTGGAGTTAGGACAGCAAGAGGAAACAACATCTGAATTTCTGGCACTGACAGGGTGGAATGTGACATATCTGAGCTACTTTTGTCTTGAAGGGAGAATATATGAAGGAGATATGAAGGTAGCTCCTCAGAGAGCTCATGAGACAGGCAGCAGTGCTGCTCTCCAAGATTTAGAGGTCACCAAGCCAGAATTTGTTCTAGTATTTATTTATTTCATAATACACACACGTACATTTTCCATTTATTCCTACGGCATACATCAGGGCTAATCAATGTAGGAGCTAATAAGAACAGTGTTAGTTCCTAGCAGTTAAGTAGTTCATTAGTTTGCCCTTGTGGATTTGATTTATAAATCCATACAGCAAAATGCCCTCAGCCCAGCACATTCCTTTCCTCTACTGCATAACTAGGAGGGCAATTTAATAAAAAGCAGAGCTGAGTTTGCATGACTTGCACATTACATACTTTTACTTTCTTGGCTCTGCCGAGACATAACCTTCTGCTCAGTCACAGGCTAAAAACATAACTTTAACAAGAGTAAGTTAAACTCTACTTTTTTTTTTTTTAGTGTACAAGTTACTGGAGGTCACGGAGGCCATCTATGCACTACCTACACACACGCGTCTCGAGGCACCAAGCTCAGCTTGGGCCGACTTCGGCAGCAATGACTCAGGCTTTTAGGGGGACGGGGGCTCAGCCCACCCTGAGCTCCGTGCTGGCGGACTGGAGCGAGGACTGAAGCTACGCAGGCCGAAGGACAGACGCATCCTGGGACACCCTGCGTCACCCCACAGGCAGCCTCGTTCTTCTCGTTCTTCTGCTAACAGGCACACGCCACAGCTAGAGCTCCGCACTGAGAGGGCGACGCAGCGGCAGGACAACCGGGGCTGCACCGCACCCCGTCACAGGCCACGCACATGGCTCCAGCCCAAGGGTAAACCCGCACCTGACGCTGTGGGAAATCCTGTAGCTTCACCGTAAAAGAGCATCACCGACGTCCAGAGAGAAGAGCATGAGGCCTTGGATCTTAAACATGCATGCGGGTTCAGTTAGGCTACCAAATCATGCACTGCTTTTCAAAATATATGTATTGTGATGAGAAAAGGTGACTTCTTCTAGGGCCTGGAGCTTCCTGGAGTATGCTGCCGCTTGTCTAGGCCGTCAACAGTTTCTGCTTGTCCAAAGACTACCTCCAAATCAACACTTTTTTTCTCCTTTTATATTCAGATAAAGGGAGCCAGGGAGACAGCTGGGATAGTAGGAAGCCCACCAGCTTTCTCGGGGACCAAACTAATATTTACGTAAAAAACATACAGCTGTTTTTAATAGTCTGGATCACAGGTCTACCCACCTCTGCCTGAGAGTTGCGTGCTTAGTTTTGAGAGAAAGTGAGCGTAACTGTTGATATATCACCGTTTCAGAATAAAGAAATTATCTAGCTTCTCTTTCTGGATTAATTTTCAGATCTGGCTTAATATGTAAATACAATAATTTTCTTTGTTTCACTTCATGTGACCAAGTACGTTATTTGGTATTTTTAGTATTTAGTATAAAGTCTTATAGTTAGTTAGTATGAAGTATATTAAACTGTATTATTTAGTATAAATACATATACATAATACAAAGTACGTTATTTAGTATAAAGTCTGTAGTTCTGATAATTATAGTCAGAGTTCTGATAGTTTTGAGACTGACATTTCAAAGTAATTAACTTATAAGGTTACAGTTATTAAAAATATATCTGAAAGGGCATAAAATTCAGCTCAGGCTTGGGAACCTGTGTTCTAAACCCACCTCAACACCATCATTTGTTTGTTCAGCAGTTTAATTCCAGCCTCTATAAAATCATGCTGCCAAGCAGTACTGTAAATGTGCATGGCACCCTGAGACACATAAAAACAGGCTTTATGCCCTCATTTCCATTTTCAAGAGAGGCTACTGACCCATCTTTTCCACTATAAATATAGCTCCGTCTTCACGTCTTGCTGGCAACCTAAGTGAACCTCCAAGATTTTTTTTTACAATAAGAACACACAGGTATATCCTAATTTACATTCAGTAGTAAGCCACTTACTTTATCCACAAAAAAGTGTGCTCTTATCACTTGTCTAACTGCTCTCTAATAGTGCTATTACTGACTACCCCAATCATTAAGAGCTGCACCTCAACCCTCTCCTGAATGAACGTACACTGTGTGCAGACAGAAAGCACTTTCCATAGTCAACTGTTTCTGATACAAAGCTGCTAAGGACAGTTTGCAGATCCTCAAATGAAAATGTACTTTTGGTAAATACTTGCTTTCCAGAAGAAATCTCAGTTTCTCAGTTTTCAAGTAAATGTATATAATAACTAGAGTAGTCCGTATTTTTAAAATGACCCCCTTATTTTACCAAAGTTTTCTGGGGTAGGTAGAAGGCCAAAACCCATTTATTTGCTCAAATAAGTTCTAACAACATCCTATATGCTAACTTGCCATTATATAATCTGGTGTGAGCAACAGGAATACTAACTGTTCTGAAGTTTGCTGGTTTTCCTTCCAGCGGTGCAGTTAACTGCACTTTGTGGAAGAACGCTTGAAAATGCAACTTGAATGTAATGCGATGGTTTGGCAACTGAAAGCCAAACGCAGCTCCCCCCCAAACTCACTTTAAAACCAAACGGCTTCCCAGTGTATAAAAATAAAGCACTGTGTGTGAGGAAAAGCAACAGCACAGAACAGAGAGGTTGCTCCTACCTTTGCACTGGAAGTGGTGAGTGGGTGTCGTGAGCAGCAGCCTGTCCACCATGGCGTCGGGCCCGCTGCAGCGGGCTATCCCCGGCTCCTTGTAGCCCGCCTTCACCCACTCGGAAAGCCAGCGGAGATTGCAATCGCAGTGCAAGGGGTTGGTACCTAAAGCCCTAGTAACGCAAAACAATTAACAGCAGTTATTTTGGCTTGCAAGCAAAGGTAACATCCCTGATCTCACTGAGGCACATTTTATTCTACACTTTTACAGGAATGCTTTACTTCAAAATGTGCGGGAGATCTTCGGAGTATTCAGGAAGTCTTTTAGATTCATCCCCTCCAGTATTCCCACTCTTCTCCTTTCTTCCCATCAGAAGTTAGGGAGGTTGTATATGCACCTAGCAACAAATAACTTTTTCAAACAATAAATCACTTTTTCAAACAACGGTGCTTGAGCAGTGTCACCAGACATATCGCTTTCATCAAGTTTATCACATGGGTTTCTTTCATTTAAGTCTTTGTCCTTCATGAGCATATTCTAACAGTGAATTGGGATTTAATTTAGTTTGGATCTGATGACTCGTGTTAATGTCTCCTCGCTAGATGAAACGTACACACAGAGGATACCCCTGGTTTCAAAACCGCAACCTGGTGTCTGCTGAGTTTGTTTCTGGCTTTGAAAACACATTTGCTGGTTAACCCATCACTCGAGTTAGGTCATACGGTTGAAGTAGATGGATTCACATAGTGTAATTATTATTCACAGAACTTTTTCATTATTCATGGAGTTCTATCCAAAAGAAAACAAACCTTTTAGCCTTAAATTTAGGTGCTGCCTTGACTCATTTATACTATTTTTTTCTCTTTAAGAAAGTGTCTTTTCAGGCAATCAGTCAATTACAAAGTCCAGAAAAGTCAGTTTAAAAACAATTACTTTTTGCAAGTGTGAAGAAATGTATGTTGAAAGTCTGAATTTACTTTGCTGAAAGTAAATGTAAGGCTTTAGCTGTACAACACCTGAATTGCCACGGGAAGAAAAGTAACTAAATAAAGATTGGCATAGGAAATACTGTGGAAACCAATAATTCAAACTGGGTTTTCGACTTTACTATTTCTGCGTATGTTATGAACTATTTTAAGATGGCATTTTCAACTCAAGCTTCTTTCAAACAAAAACATCTCAGCCAGGTTATTAAGATAGAAACCTCAGTAAATTTGTTGATACATTTCTGCTGGAGTGACTAATGAACCCACTGTGCCCTAGACAGATTCATAATGAGAGTTCATAGGTTCAAACCCTGTCTAGGGCTCATTCATCAAAATTAAATGTGTACTGCAGCACAGTATTAAAAATATCCATCCATTCCTTCTGTAAATCCATTGCTTACAATGGAGAAAAACTCCTGGGTTGACCTTTTGACCCTGTAACTGTGATCAACTGGCTCACTTGTCCAAGGTCAAACAAAATGCAGCAGTGAAAGTTGGACCGAGAAATTAACTTTAGCATTGAGCAACTGCCATATATAAAATGGGAGTGGGAGGACAACGGAAAGCTGCTTACCATGTTAATTAATCTTTATGAACGATGTTAGAAATAAAGCTGCTCTATAGACACTAGAAATGATTACCAACAACATTGTTGTACAACTGCAGAAATTATCACATGTATCTTTCCATTCTTTTGTTCATGATTTTGTGGGGTTTTTTTCCCCCCTTCATTTCTAGGAACTATAGTGAATCTTGCATTTCATTCAAGAGTTCTAACATACTCTATTTCTTTGCCCATTATAGCAAAGTATTTCCGTAAGGGAAAAATATCTTGTGCTGCAATGAAATACCACCACGGGTATTTTCAAAATGTGCAGATATTTCTGTTCAGACGCTTTTTTTTTTTGAGGCAACTTAGCATAAGGTCAATTAAAAGAACTCTAGCCATGATAATGTAGAGAAATAAAGGAGGGGACAGCTTATTTTTATAGGTAGCTAACATAAATTTAACTACAGATGAGATGATTCAACAGGATTAGGAGCAGTTGTTGAAAATACGTCTGACAGAAATACCTGCCGTCCGCAGCAACCATTCCCAAGGGTTTCTTTGTGGGGTCCCTGGAGTGCCGAGAGGTCCGTTTGTGTGTGGGCAGTATTTGGGAAACTGAACCAGTTGCAGAGTTGTGCATATCAGTGAATGGTAAGGACGGCAAATGCAGGAACTGACCTCACTGAGAAGGTCTCAGTTCTACCCCAAGGGATTTTGGGGTCTTTCTAAGCATTACTATATAACCAGTGCGTGCATACCTTCCTCTGCATTCAGTGAGGTATACCAGCTACACAGTTTGTTACAATAGTTACATTACAACAATACGAAGTTTACCACGTAAAGGAAATTTGGTGAATATTTTCTTGTAGGCTTTAAACAGCTATGGAAAAAGTAATTGAAGTGTCTTGATCTCAGTTTTGTTTTTTCAATTACAGACCAATTTAAAGCTACTGCAAAAGACTGGCTACAATCAACAGTTTTGTCTATGCTACACAGATACTTCTTTGCAATTCTAAAGATTAATTTGATACCTTCCATCTTCTTCCCCCACAAGCTGTACTGATGCAAAAGGCCCACGCTGATCGTCCTGCTCAACACCTTAGTAGTCAGCTTTCTCCAGCCGTAATACCTGTCCTACTCTTAGCCGCACAGCTTGTAAATTTAACGTAGAATTTTGATCTCCCATGCATTTTGAGTTTGATGAGTAGCAACTCCTTGTATCATTTCCAAAATTATTCCAGGTGCGTGCTTTCTCCTTGAACATCTATGTATCAGGAAGAGCTCAAACTGAATTTATTTTCAATTATGTATGACTTCATTTGAATAAGCACAGCTTTTCTTGGCATGTTAAGAGTAAAATCACTGTGGTTGCTAAAAGTTTCAGAATCCACTTTAAGAAATTGGAGAGCACAATTGTACTGTAAAATTCAATTGTTCAGCTGTGCAAATTACACCCCAGACAGGTCTTATTTATTTTATGGATCCTATTTATTACTGTTCATTTGAGCTTTGTGTATTTTACATTTCTGGCAGCACATATATCTAAACAGATAGACTGCAGTGATTGTATTGGGCCAAAGGGGTTTTTATCACTCCCTAAGGTGAACGGTTTACCCAGGAAAACTGTATCTGCACTTCATTTAAAGTAAACCCTGAGGAAAATCCAAACAAATGGGGCATATGTTTACCTCTTGAGTTCTAAAAATACCCTCAGAAGCCAGATTCCCAGCATGGAAGGTGTCACTGCGCTTCCAAATGGAGGTACAGGGCTTCAGCCTTCCATTCCCAAACAACATACAAGACATCCCCATCCCTCTGATTACTTGAGGACAGTGATCAGGAAACACGCTACACAAAATTCCTTTTCCTTTACATCTATTGTCTCATAATGTGAAGTATCGCACATTATCTCAGTGAAAAAACATTTTCTGTTCACTCTTTTGGCACCAACTGCTACACTGCAGGTTGATTTTGTAACAATTGCAGCTATTTGTCTTTACAGTTCTTTCATCAACGGAACTGCATTTAAAAATATCCTGGACCTCCACCAACGCAACAGTAATTTCCTGGAATATCTGAAATGTTTAATAATTTTTGCAAATTATAGAAGGCGTATTAATGTTGTAAAATGACCAATTTCCATATGATTAAATATGCCTGAAGTAGTGATTCATCAATAAGTTCATATACTGACAACATTTCAGTATGCAAAACATATGACACTTATTAAGCAAAGAATTCACATTTGCTTAATATTTGCTCTTTGTGGGAGGTTTCCTGTCTCACTCTCAGACCATAACAGTCTCTGCATTTCACATAGACAATGCTGAAAGAAAGCCTTAAACACAAAGTCCACAGAAGAGGAAACTGTCACATTTGCTCATTTGGTTTCCCTTAAGAAAATATTTTGCTAACTAATAACAACACGTTCTAGTATTTTTTTTATTTCTTTTGAACACGTCCACCACGAATATCCAGAGCAGAATATGGAAAGTGAGCAGGAAAACCAGAAAAGCTACACAATCTTTTATTTGTAATAATACGTACTGTTTTATCAATCTGACACTGTCAATCAAAGAGATGAAGCCAGACAGAAGTACTTACAGATGGGACAGGGACACCAGGTCGTTGAAAGAACCTTCGGGAACACTGGAAATATCGTTTCCATGGAGCGTCCTAGAAGAGGGGAGAAGCAGGAAGGCATCAAACCACAACATTTCCTGTTATCTGCTCCCCACAAGTGAAGGAATTGGTGCTCAAGAAGGTTATTCCGTTTTGTTTCTTTGAGAGTTTCCCTGAGCTTCGCAACTCATGAGCTTCCATGCTTTATTGCTTCTACTTCTAGATAGCGTTTAAAATAATGATACAATCGGAATTGCTGGTGTCTCATGTTTTAAATTAAAAAGGTGACATACTACTTATGCTATTAAAAGAGTATTGATGACAAGCAGACCCTCATATACAGATCTGTACTCTTTTATAGCATCCCATTAGACAGAAACACAGAAAAAACAGAACAGGGAAAATAGGAACTGTGAAAGTTATATTAAATATTGACTTCAGGGAGATCCTAGGAGAGAACAAGGGCCCATGAGGGCAAACGTAGCTGCGCTTTCACATTCTGGTTTCCCATTCTCACAGTAGGAAATACATCTTTGTGTGGTATTTTTAAAATCCGTTTGACAAATATAGCAGGGAAAACCAGTTGAAATTATTTGTTTTAAGGCATTATTTACCCAGCGCAAAGAAACGAACGTTTTTCTAGCAGGATTTTCAGGATCCTTGCAAAAGGCTTCCCCACTGCTTCCAGGACAATTTAAGCAGCCACTTTATCTCTTTTCCAAGAAATACATTTATGTGTGTGTGTTACATGGCCAAGCATAAATGGAAAGATTTTTCTTGCAGCCTGTAGAGCACAATACTTCTATTCAAAGCGGCAGACACAAGAGTAAAAATCATTATTTGTGATTACTTGTGGTTTTCATTGCAATTGCAGCTGAAAGCCCTGCTACGAAGTAGGGCACCGCCACTAGAGGCTGTGACAGACAAGGAGAGAGGCAGAGCACTTCTTGCAGCACCAAGGCTGCGACCATGCGGGAGAACATGCAGGCACAACTGGGAGTGCGGGAGGGCACAGGATGCTGGGTGTGACAACTGCATAAAAACTATCCAGAAAATGCACCAGAGAAGATACACAATCTTTTAAGACTTTATTTTATAAATAAATAAATCAACTACTCAGCTGCTGCATCCTTTGCCTCACTAGATAATTATCTGGTAAAAATAGCATAAAGAAAAAGATTTATAATTTATTCTAACTTCTCCAGTTTGCAGGTCACTGAATACCAGTTTAATACTTCCCATAGTAACAGACAGAATTCAGAAGAAGTCAATACGAGTCGATTCCGCTGGATCTCACTAGCCGTTTCTTAAACAAAAGTTGGTAGAAAACTTGCAAAGGAAAAGGACATCAATATTTTAAAATGATATTTTCTTTCGCACTTCTCCCCTGAGCTCGCTTGGTTATAGCACACTGCTGTATCCCTTATGTCCTCTTTCCCAGGCCCAGGAATTACTGCCAGTGCTGCAGGCGCAGCAGAGGAGGGTGGAAAACAGAAACTTGCTGCGTGTCACTTTTGTAGCAGATCTTTCCCTCGAGTCATTTATTTGCTAATTTACCTGGCGATTTGTGGAACAGAGCAATCACATCTTATCTTTTAATTTCTGCGACTGTACATATTCTTGAAATGGTGCACACTGAGTGTACTGAAAACAAACCAAACCTCCGGGCCCATGGAAATACACAGTAGCCCCAGATGAAAACAAAAGCATCTCTTTTTGCATCCTTTCTTCCCTAACACCACTATAAGCTTCACCAGGATCTACATGATGCCTTATAACTCTTATGAATTCTACCCTTAGACGCAGCATACACTCAGCAAGGAAAGGCAAACTTCCAGGGGAAGATACGCCTTGTCCTGTCTCCCGGGCGGCTGTGAACTGTGTGAGCATAAGCACTGTCACCTCCATCACGCCTCGCAGCTGCTCGCTGCAGCAGCACTTTCCATCTTACCATACTGCGAAGTTTTTCTACAGAGCACAAACCCACAAAAACTACAGCCGGCTTCTCCTGCTGGCACCTCTCTCCAGCTCTCGATGCTACTATACCAAAACCTTCTCCTTCCAACATCCTGGTTCTGAAATTTTCTTTTAAGCATACCTAGGTTTTGGCTGTTAGTAATACTACTTGGCATATATAAGCACGGATCTCCAAGCAATTAATCCAAACCGGAAGGATACGAGCTCCCACACAGCAACTCCAGATAAAGCACACTCACTAATCCTACACCGAATGACAAACTGACTGAGACATACCCCAGCGCTATTAAATGATGAGTATTTTTGTTGGTATGAGGATGCAAGATCAGCCCTGGTCAACAACTTGTAACCAAAATGTTCCCTCCTTCAATTAAACGACCATATTTAAATAAGCAGCCAATCATAATGAGCTTATATTCTGATCTTTTAATCTACTTAAAAATGTGCAAGACAATTCTCTCTGAACAGACAGCAGAACTTATATTTATCTTCATGTCATATCAGGTGTGTTTGTTCTGTGAAGGGGTGCATTTTCTTTCCTAGATGTCTCGGAAACTTCTTCCAAGAGAAGGTGAAGAATGACAAAGCCATTATCTGTAAGAAGGTAAAACCACCGAAAGTATAAAGCCGTTTGGAATGAATGGCTTGACTACATATCTCAAGCATTGAGGTATGTTTCATGGATGCAAATGCCTGCATTTAATAAAAAAAAAATCACATCAGCAACATCATCACCCACGCAGCTAAAATGAAATGATAAATCCTAAAATACTTCAAACCTACAATAATAAATAGTGGCAAGAGAATTCAACAGTGCAACAAAATCTTTTTCCTCTTGGAACAACAACAGGAACACATTTTTATACCAAAAATCCTTATAAGCAAATGGTAAAATAAAATCTTAAACATTCGGACACTTAAAGCACACACATTGATGTGTGTCTTCTCCCTCAAAAGCACGACTTCTAGGTATGTTCTCGTCTTAAGCACTGGTAAACAGCACGGGTATGAATTTAGGGTGATGTGGATCTCCTCTCAGCGCAAAAAAACCCTTGAACCCTTGAAATAAAAACTTTCTTCTACATGTGATCTCATTAACATTACTTTGTCTTCAGGTAAGGAAATGAACTAAACATATCCTTTTGGGCTGGGTTTTTTTTTTTTTTTTTGGTTGCTTTTCGCTTTAGTAACTGTTCCCAAGATCTGCCTTCCAGCCTGTTGTCTCATAACATTAGGTTAAGATAAAAAAAGAAACAAAGCCAAATAATTTTTCTGTTAGATCAAATCAGTGCAGCAACCAACAATGAAAGCATATTGCAAAAATTGGTTCCAAGGTTGTGCCCGAAGAGCATTAATGGTACTTTTACCATCACACATACTACTATGTTTGTGCGAGCTTTGAACTGCAGTAAATACCCAGTTTTCAGTAAAACTAGAATGTCTCATTTTAACACAATACTCTGTAGCTCATTTTATCATTTTTTCATAAATATAACATGGAAAATTGTTTAGTGATCTGAGAAAGTATTTTTATTTCTGGACTTTGCTTCTTAATTAAATCAGGACAAAATGTCAGAAGTTACAGCACTGTCACACAAAAAAAATAATCCTTAAAATAAAATAATTAGAGAGTTCTAATATTTATAATTATTTTGTCTCAATCTCAGCTTTTTAAATCTGTTTGCATTTAGCTTCTGAAAAGACTAGCTTTGGACCAAAAAAACCAAAAAAACCCCAAAACCACAGTTTTTCACTACAACAGCTTTGGTGCAAAAATTACTGATATCAGCTTTTTTTTATTAAGACTCGACACTGAAATTGCTCCCCAGCACACTTTCGCTGCCATTATGCATAAGCCACGTGAACACTGAAGATTAAAGGCCTGATGGTGTAAACACTGATATATGTTTAGGCTTAAACGTAAACATGCTGACTCTGCAGTTTTCTCAGTTGGGCTGGTGCTGAAAAGTGTAAGAGAGAGTGGACAGAACCAGATATCTTTCAAAGATCAACTTCATCACACATCTATGATTATTCTGATTTTCAAACACATATTTACTTCACTTACTATAGAGAGGCAAAAAGCAAAGAAAACGAAAGGAATTTGGAAGCCTGTATGGGTCTGCTACCTTCAAAGGCAAGCATAACCAAAGGTAATGAGATCTCTATATTCTTCTTATAAAAAACAAATGTGGAAATTGTTTTGCTGATGTTTTCTGTTTTAAATTCCCCTGAGAATATGGATAATAAATAACTGACAATAACAGATTGCACGCTGTCACTGGGAAGCCATTTTCTCTCTGAAGAATTGATTTTTAATAACAACATAGATGACGTGTGGCGAAAGTTGTAGCTGATACCAGAGTTTTGTGGGCCATAATAAATCAAACCAATCTGGAGGCTTCCAAATGCATGGAGCAGAGGCAGAGATTCACATTTAGGCTTAATTTTACTCGTGCTGCTCTGTGCAAGACAAGGAGGGCTCCCCCCTTGAAGGAGGAAGGTATTTTTTCAATTTGATTAGCAGACGATTTAAAAAAAGCCAAAAGATAACAGTTTTTATTAAAATACTGCCCTTCGTTTCTGTCCATATGTGGCCTGCAGGAACAGAAGTGAAAAGACAAACTGTAGCTATTGGAAAGAGAGGTATATCTACACTGTAATTCAGGGTAGAGAGTCCCAAAGTAGCTTTAATCAAGCTAGCTTGCATATCAGGAGCAGGCCAGAAGACAGCTCCATATGGAATAATTTATTTGGCCATGAAACAGAATATATTCATCTGTGGCTGAATTTCAGGACTCATGTAACAGCTCAAATGTGACCGTCCTACTGCGCTAGAAATCAGAGTCCCAAGCCAAACATAAAACAACATATCCAAATCACGTATCTATCTTGGTTTTAATAATGAAAACTGGGAATCTACAGCCGTCGTGTAAGTTAAGAGGTTGAAACCTAGATATCTATTTTACCACTCAAACCACAGTGAAAGAGCTCGGCCAAACTGCATTGCCTTATTGCTTCCACAGTTGCAGTACTGCCCATGTCAACACCTTAATTCCACACTTACCGAGTCAGCGCACAACCACCACTGCTCTTTAAATTCACCGAACCTGCTGCATGTGAATGACATCTAACTTTTTTAACAAATAGGAAATACTAATGTGAAGTTTCAAAGCACTCAGGACATATTCTACAGCTCCTCTGTCCTGACCCTTTAGTGCTCAAAGCTTTCTCCTTCAGCTCCCTGAACGATCTCATCACAGATAAGCTATTTTAACATATTTGCTGTCAGTTTACTGTGCAAATAACGATGACCCACTTGTGTTGCTGGGCCCTGGGGAGGGAGGTGGCTTCTCCTTGTCCTGACAGCGGCACCTGGGGTTGCATGTCCACACAAACGACTGAGCAAACACAGCTCGGGGTTTGCTTCTGATGGGGAGTGAGAAACAGTAAATAGGAGACCGAAGCAGGACTCAAGTCTAGCAGATGCCTAAGAAAAGCTGGTGGGGCTGCCTGCTGCAAGGAACAGGCCCACAGCCCACACTCTGAGACGATATAAAGACGACGACTTTCAGACGAGAATTGTAAGCAAATTGTTCGATCCAGAAAGCTGCTGAAAGCAGCTACACTGGAAAGAAAGACTGCAGAAAAGGATCTCCAAAGAAAGAAACCACACGTGGACATCTCTGAGTCAACATGAGGTGAAATTTTAATCACAACTTAAAGACATTTGAGACAGGCATCTCGGCATTACTGGCGCCCAGCCACTGGCTTGACTTACTCATTGGTTCAGTGTTGGGACTTTTAACTTACTTCCCTTCAGACTGCGTTCTTTTACGTAAACACTTGCCGGCAGAAATCCAAATTAACAGAAAATATTCTAAAAATGCACAGCTTTTCAGTAAAGGCACTCTTGTTGAAGCATCCAGTAGAAACTTGCACTCTATCATCAAGTTTTTCCAAAAAAAGGGAAAAGACCTTTCCTGAGGGGGACCCAAACACTGTTCAAGTAGAAGAGACAAAAAGACTCCAGGCGGCCTCTTGGAGGCCTGTTTTCACAATAGTGCTTGTCCACGAACTATCAGAGAAAAGTCATTCATCCTGCATAAACGTAATCGCTTCTTTTCAAAGTTTAGCGCTCACCTGCTCTAGTCATTACTGGACATATTGCACCTAAGTACAAGTACATTGAAGCTAATTGTGTGAAAATATTTATGACTGCTGGATCAAGTGAAAGCCATCTGCTCATTAAAAACCTCCCTGTCATCAACAGCATTCTAATGAGCTGCAACTCAGCTGCATCGAAGCAGCGGTACTTACAGCACTCGAAGAGACCTGAGCCCATTGAACGCGTGGACTGGAATGCACCGAAGTCTGTTGTAACTCAAGATGCTGGGAGAACGAGAGAACAGAGTTACAACGTTGTGTTTGCTTTGACTGTTTCACTCCCAATTCAACCACAAAGAAGCATGCAAAGCTATATGTTTAAGTAACAAGATACATACTAATTGTTCAACACCTAAGATGGTGTCTGAAAAGCCATTAAAACTGTTATCAAACTTTGGACTACTTACAGTGTTGATAACTGAGTCATGTTGCTGAAGGTGTAATTGGCCAATACGCTTATGCTGTTGTTGCTCAAGTCACTGAAGAAACACACAGGGAAAATATAATTTATATGTAAGAATTGAGAACTAAGTCTTTTTTAAGATTACGTAATATCTCCACAGCAAAATGCTTGAAGCAATTGAAAAGTCACAAATAATCAATTGATACAATATTTTCTAACCAACTTTGAATAAACTCTAAAAGCAAAGCACATCAGACTCCCCTAGAAAGCTTCAGACTCAGACATATTAAGGCATATTCCCAGCATAAAACATAAAAAAAAAAATCAGTGAATACAAGCAAAATTTTTGAAGAAGGATAAATTAATAGATGGTACAAGCACGGGTCAATATTTACTGTACTAACTTGCTTTGCTATTTATTAGAGGCATACCATTTCCATATGCTCTTCACATTGACAACTACTAGAATAAAATTTAATTTTTCATTAAAAAAAGTCTTTTAGGCTCAAACAGAACATTTTGTTTTGTCGTTGCTCTCCCTTGAAAAACAAAATTAAAGATGCTTCCAAATAAAACACTGTTTTAAACCAGAGGATTCCAGTCTTCCCTCCATGTTGTTTTTGTCTGAGGTTGTTCTGCCCATTTGACTTAAGTATCTGCAGCTGATTCAAACAGCATTTGAAAGTGCTGATAAACAGCCCAGCCAAGAAATTTCACTCTTGGGTATTTCAGGGAGCAGTTTACTGAAAGAAGGTCTAGTTGTGTCTCCATCTGTATGATTGTTCGTAGCAGGACCAGCTATGCAAATTTTCATTGCCTTAGCGTTATAAATACTGCCTCACCTAGAACAAATTAATGCCGTCTCTTCTGTTAATAACCTTTACAGCTTTGCACAAATAAATCTGCCAAGTGAAACTGTAGCAGCCTGCATGAGAGCTTAGTCCTCTCGCAGAAGCTGGACGCTCCTGCAGAGGAAGGGTCTCTGGTGCTCTCAGTCACCTCGCTCTTTCTCCACTCTTTGTGGACACTTTACTGGCAGCAGTGGCCACTGCAAAATTTTTTCAAATTCAAATTACAGAAGGTTTTTGGGTTTTGTGGTTTCCCCCCCAGCAAATACCAATTATTTATGTTCCACCTACAACATAGTGCAAAAAGAGTCATGTAACTTTCTTGACATTGAAACCACGTGTTTCTTACATCAGCGTGAGGTGTCTGAAGGTGGAGAGCCCCTTTGGCACAGCAGTCAGATGGTTTCCTTCCAGGTATCTGAAAAAAATCAGATTTGACAATTACACACACAAGTTAACAAGAACTCCTGTCACTCAATCTGCACCGTGAATGAGGAAAATATCTTTGACTCATTGCTTCATTGCTTTGAAACTATAACAGTTTCTCCTTTGTAAATGAATTATCCAACATGCAAAGCATGACTGTAGTTTATTGTTGTGGGGTTTTTTTTGTTTGTGTGGTTGTTTTGTTTGTTTTTTAAAGATTTGGAAGGGAATAAAGGATCTCTGGCCTACAGCAAACAGAAATGACCACTTGGTTCTTCTATGACAGCAACCGGAGAGAGCGAGAAAAATTGCACGGCTTGTGCCCTGAACTTAAAGTTATGGTTAAGAAGTTTCTATAAGAACTCTGAGTGCTGACTGACGCTGTTAGGAAACTTTTTGTCTTGTGCACATAAGTTCCTTGTAGAGCCAGAACTGGAAGAGGAGCTGCACTGCCAGGTCTCTGTGTTGCTAGAAGTCCCACTTCTTCCAGCGTCAACACAAACATCCATCAGTCTGATGCCACATCCATTGCAGCCCTCCCTGCTATGGCACATACACCATCCTCACCTTTCCCTTTCAAAGTACGCTGGTACAGGAGGAAAACTTGGTACCAACTGAAGGCCAAGTACCAAGTTCACTCTGAATACGGGCTCCTCCTACGAGCCCTAAGTGTATTTAATATATAGCCTGTGTTTCCAGGGTGGAAGTTGTTTGAGACACCGCTGAATATGTCTCTATCCAGAGGCATGCACAGCAGGCCTATAGCCTTTTGGGATAACCCTATGTCCTCATTTTCCTGGCACACAGTGCCTGCATTTTGCAGATTTTCTCCACTGAAGAAACATGAACATTCAGTAACGAAGGGAAAAACCCTCAACAAACGTAATACTTTCCAAAAGTTTGCCCAAAAGAGAGAATGGGTACTCAAGACTCCACAGCTGACCTGTGGTAGAGCAAGGGGATGTGGGGCTTTTGCTTGTTTATTACAAAATAATAGGGACAGAGCTGGAGGTCTTTTCCTTAACCTTGGCTTTTGGGTGAAACTGCATCCCTGGCAGATACCAAAGTAATAAGGCTCCAGTGGAAACCACCCACTGTGGTGCCATGGCACTGTCAAGGTGATCCTCCAGAAACCAGATCTTCCTGGGAAACAAATCCAACCTTCTCAGAAAGGGCTGTGTAGGAGGAAGGCATTTCTCCCTCCACAGGCGAGACAAAAGATGAAATGATATTTCCCTTCTTTACAAGGTACTTTGGGGGATTTTTCCTAAGGTAGACATGGCGCAGTGCAATTGATGTGGTATATTCTGAAAGATAATCAAGCGTAGCGAGGAAATGCAGCCCAGACACCAGAACACTTAATGTGCTGCCTCTACTGCTGAAAATACAATCCGCTAATCATGTGAAGAATTTTTATCCCACACATACAATTTCCTTTCCTTTGGCAACAGACCTCCTTATTCTGCATTTACTATAGCAAACAACAATAATAATAGATTATTACTGTGCTATATGTTCCCTCTCTACATTAACTGCAACAACACAGAGATATTCCTGTAAACTAAATCCAGGAAAATTTTCTCACAAACTTTATTTTTACATCATTTAAAAATAAAATCTATAAACACTATATATATCTCTCTCTCTATAATAGAATCTACAGAATATATTTTATAACTGTCACATTCCCCCCCCATTTCAGCATAGTGCCCTCCCATCGTTTTCTGCTGCTTCAGCTCTCTTTTCAACTCAACTACCCCAGCCTCACGCTTATCCATTCTGGCTGTGCACAGGATCCCACCAAGGCAGAGTCACCTTAGAGCATGCGGTGGAGCTGACCTAGCTCCTGCTAGGATTAGGCTGGACAAGCAGGACTATAGGCTTTTGCATTTTTAACCCAAAGCAAAATCCTTCCTTAATGAAAAACCCTATTGAACAAATTAATCTCTCCATTCACAAAACCCACCAGCACTGAGCGACAGTGCTGCACAGTAAACAATTAGCCCTTGCAAAGCAGCGACGGCTGCTCTGCTGACGCAGATTATCACAAACCAGAGTATGGGTTAGTTATGCCACATTTACACCTCCCGTGGATATTCATACTCGGCAAGTGTAAAGTCGCTTGCTTCATTCGGACTAAATTTGATATAAATTATTTTGAAAATGGAGGTCCTTGGTGAATTCACACCACAAATTGTTATGTCGAAGATCCTCAGAATTTAACCACATATGTTACGATTTAAACAGGGCAAATCAGGTCTCATTTCCCCAGTCATGGTCTGCTGTGGACGCTGCAAGCCGCTGGGAATTTGCATCTTCTCTTTCATCCCAGAAAGTCAAAAATCTTAAAGCCATGCATGCGAGTAGGTTAAGGTTCCAGTCTTTATTCCAAATGTAAAACCCAAAGGATTTCCAAAGGAAATCAAAATCAGGTCATGTATTATGTATTTGGAAGCTATATATGATTTTCCTTTAGGAAAGGAGATTCAACTCTTGCAATGTGTTGAAAACTTCAGAAATATATTTTCAGGATATTCTCTTTTTGATTCCAATATGAACCAGCCTGCAATTGAAACAAAGTGATGATGGCTAGCCAAGGTTTTATCCCCCCTGTTTTTCTTTCTGGTGCAATGAGAATTGGAGGGTGCACATTTTAATCCAGTGCTCCGTTATCCAGACTAATATAGACACGCAGACCCCTGGAGCTGAACTCCTACAGAAGATCTGCTTTGAACAGCTTTGGGTTTGTACTGCAAACAATTTGATGGTTATATAAATGTGCTAGCAGAAAGCTGCAATACTTACACTAGTGGTATAATTTCTGAACAAACACAATTTTACACTGAAAGATTACTGATAACATACTTCTCATGCATACCTAAGAACACTGTTAAACCTTTCACCACGTTATACAAAGAATGGCAGCGTTTTCTAAGCAAAAGGCACTCATCTTGAAAGCACATTTAAGTGCAACAAATTTGAAATAACCAGAGCTTTCAGGGCATAAGAGCGTGCCAAGAATCAGGAGGATCCGAGATGCAACACCTGAAGAAACCCACTGCTGCAGGCGAGCTGCTGCCCAGGGCGGGGAGGCCTCCGGCGGCGCCGGGAGGGGACG